CGACGAGCTCATGCAAGAACTCGACGAGTTGGATCGCGATTTAAGAGATTTATGATTTATGGGACTCGGCGAGTTGAGTCAACCCAGAGGGTTGACTTTGACTAGAACGTTGACTTTGACCAAAAGGTTGACTTTAACTTGGACTTTGACCAGAGTTGACTCTTAAGGGGTCATGAGTATGGAAGAGTAATTAAAGGAGATTTTATGTGTAGGAGTTTGAGGGGAGTTGATTGTAGAGCCGAGGACAGTTCAACTACTTCACGACATTTGAGGTGAGTTACCTTCCAGTAGAAGTGGGTCTAAGGCACCAATGTCGGCCCACTAGTAGGTGATTGTAGTTGAGATGTTTGTCTTTGTGATAATTGTCTGGTGTGCCACTATCTGTTATGCTTTATGTGCTAGTATGCTATAATATTATGTGATAGTGGTAAGAGGGGCGAAATAGTCCCTGGTTACCGGTTGAAAGAGACCGAAGGGGTAGACAGTACCCATCTATGCCTAGCAGTATGTTTACGATATGTTACTATGTGGTAGTGGTAGGGGTGAAATAGTCCCCGTAACCGGTTGAGATAAACAGGAGGGGTAGGTCGGACACCCCGGTATGTCTGACAGGGGTAGATTGGGCACCCCGGTATGCCTAACAAGGGTAGGTTGAGTACCCCGGTATGCTCAGCAGGGTAGGTCGGGCACCCAAATATGTCTGACAGTATGTTTATTGTATGGTATGTGGTATGATGAGGGAACTCACTAAGCTTCGTGCTTACGGTTTACAATTTTGGTTTCAGGTACCTCTTCTTCGAAGGGAAAGGAGTCGGCATGACTGCAGCGCATCACACACACGATTTTCCGCATATGAGATTCTTGGGATTTGTACTCTGACATTATTTATTATGACTTGTTTTGAGACTTTTGATTTATGATTTTTTATGATATGAGATAACATTGATGGCGTTTTCAGTAATCTGTGAATTATAAATGAAATTTTCGGTCTTAAACTTTGGGATGTTACAATTTGCTAATTAGTTTTAGAAGTTATATTGGAAACTATAGTTATTAGACTTATCCAAGTGAGAGATTGTTGGATTAGGTGTCTAAGCCCATAACTATAATTGATATATAATTAAATTGATAGTATCATAGTCCTTTTGGATTGCCCACAAGAGTAGCAACTAGACAATATTATATTTAGAGAGAGAGAGAGTCTTGATGTATTATTTGATTAATAAATTGAAATAAATAATTCGTTAATATATTATGAAAATAATATATTAATTAGAAATAATAATATTTAATTAATATTTAATCAGAAATTAATTGGAATTAACTTTAGGATTAAAGGAATTAATTAAAAGTGCATGAACTGAAATGTAATTGTTTAATAGTTCAGCAAGAGGCATTCTAGAATCCTTTATATGGTTTGGACGGTTTCTTTAAGCCTAAGGCCTTCTAGAATTGTCCTATGTGGATAAACAGGAAAGTGGATAATCACCCGGTTTAAGTTGATCTTGGATTTAGGCTTATCTAGGGTTTCCTGATTGCACTATAAATAGGGCATAACCCTATGATTTTCGGCCACTCAATCCTTCGAAGAGCTAGCCGAAAATTTAAGCCTCCCACCTCTCTCTCAATTGTATTCCTTTTGCTAGTGTTGGGTGTGAACCATTAGAGGCATGACATTTGTGACACGACTTTATCAACACAAGGATTTGCATTGTTATTACTATATAACAATGAAGGTATGATTTTTATAACCCTATATATGTATTTTCGAATATATGCTAGTGTTCTAGGGTTTCTATTTTGTTGTTCAAGTTGTATGTTCAGTTAGAGAAAACATAGATTAATTATTTAAGGTTGCATAGGATTTATATGTTTTGCATAATACCCATCAGTTATTTCTTTGGATGATATACTGGTTGATGATCGGCTGAATTATGTTGAGAGACCAGTGACGATCTTGGACCGGGAGACGAAGACCTTGCGCAATAAGGTGGTATCTTTGGTTAAGGTCTAGTGATAGCATCGAAATGTTTCCGAATGGACTTGGGAACCAGATGCTGAGATGCGGGAACATTACCCCCGAGTTATTTGCGGTGACGGACTTCGATGACGAAGTCTGATTAGAGTGGGGGGAGAGTTGTAAAATCCAAATTTTTGAGGTACTTTGTAATTATTATCTTCTTTGTTTAGGGTCGTCGTGACGTGGTGAAGGACCACCACGACGTGGCGAGTCGAGACTAGATCGCATGTTTCATTTAGTCACCACACCGTGGCGGCTTGCGGCCACGATGTGGTGGCCGCATGATGGTAAAACCCTAATTTTTGGGTATTTAAAGGAAAGTGGAGAGGCTAGGGTTGTCCGCCTTCAGCCTCCATCACTGTGAAACCTATCATCTCTAACCCTAATCCTCCTTGGTTCTCTTGTGCTCATTTTTGGTAGCCTTGGAAGCTTTTGAAGGAAGAAGGATGAATCATTGAGCTTAGATCCAACAAGCAAGTCTCCATTCTTTATCTTAACACTCTTCTAGACCTTTGTAAGTGTCCCAAACTCGAATTTTATCATGATAGAATGCTAGATCTTGAGCTTTGTCCCATAATCTTCTTATTATTGTTAGTTACAATGGTGGGATTTCATAAAGTTTGCAACTTTATGAATCTCTGGGACAATTGGTGAAATTGGTGGCTTGGATCTGAAGTTTAATTGTACATTGTAATCATGCATGAGATTTAGGTTATAAACTCTCTTTTTGACCTAATATGGGTTCAAGACATGCATTGGACATGCATGTCTATAAAGTACCAACTTTCATGTTGATTTTAGTGTTAGAAACACTACTAGAGAAGATGGATTTCAGATTTAAAGGAACAAGTCCTTAATGATTAAGTTCATGTCTTTTGGAACATAGGGTTTGAGTTTTGGACCTTTTTGGATGGTCCTTGGGGGCAAAGTTAGAAACTTTATCCCTCTAGATCATGTTTTGAGTGAGCTCCAAGATTTGTAGCTCGAGAGTTTGAAGAAAACAACTTAATCAATTAAGCTGTTTGGAACCTCGTTTCCACGACGTGGTGTCAGGTCACCATGCCGTGGCGACTGGGGGTCGGATCGTATGTTTTGTCCTTTAGGTATGGGTGTTCAAAAATATTCGTATCCGAAATTTCAAAATTCTGAATTATCTGAAAAATCGGATATCCAAAATTTCGGATATCTGATTTTTTGGAATCGGAATTGGATAGTGTTTTTCAGATTTTTCGAATAATTCGCATATGTGATATCCGAAAATTTTGATTTTAATTTATACATTATTTGTTATTTTAATCACATATGTCTTGTAATATGAATGTTAGTAACTAAAACATATTCATAATACCCTTAATTAAATAACTATATTGCTTAATATGCCTTTCTAATTTAAAAATACGTATTTCTAATATAAAAACTTCATATGCCTTTCAAATTTGAACAAAAGTTCAAATTTTTGCATATCCGTTTTGGTATCCGAATCCGTATCCGAAATTTCGGATGCGTAATCGGATACTAAAAATCAACTATCTGAAATTTCGGATATCCAAATTTTCAGATATCCGGTTATGAACACCCCTACCTTTAGGGATCACAACATGTTGAAGAACCAACACGACGTGGCAAGTCAATGTTGGCTGTTGACTTTGACTTTTGACCTTGTTTTGGCTAGGTTTGACCTAGGGGTACTTTGGGTATTTTGATTTATAGTTGAGTTTGGTCAATTATCATTGAATAGGTGTTCGGTTGACATGATTTCGGAGCAGAGACCCATTTTAGCTATTTTTCGTCTATTTGTGAGGTGAGTCTTCTTACTATCTTAAGTGGGTCGAAGACACCAAGGTCGGCCCACTGTATTATATGAGTAGAATGTATGCTATTGTATGACTTTGAATGATGTGATTGGATGATTTATGTATGGAACTAATCTGGGCTCGGACTTGTTATGGACTCGGGGTTGATACGGACCTGGCATATCTTATTGCTGTTACTTTGGGTTGATACGGACCTGACACAACTACATGTTGTTATATTCAATGTGTATGCTGTATGTGATATTTTGGGAAACTCACTAAGCTTTGTGCTTACAATTATGTTTGTGGTTTCAGGTACTTCTGATACAAAAGGGAAGGGCCCGACATGATCGTAATGCATCCACCCATGTTCCACTTTTCTCTAGGATTTGGATTTGTACTCTGATGATTTCTCTTATTTGACATACTTTGTTGAATTTGTTATGGATACTCGATCCTTTTCAATTGATTCAAAAATAAAAATTTTATACATGTTTTTGGGACGTTACATGTTCAAGGTGTGGTGATTCAATGATGATGAGAAAGGGAAAGAAAGATTAGACTGATGGCGGTGGTTGACTTTTAATGAGTTACCAGTGGTGGTCGACGCCAGATGGAGACCTTGATGGAGATGGATGGGCTTAATGGTGGGCCTATGATGGCATTCTCTTTTTCCAAATGAAGAAGAAACAAAAGCTAGATTATGTTCTCCGATGACGACAACCAAATCCTCACGAACGTCATAGTCGGTGGTTCTTCTGGTTATCCGTACTATCTATGTCGTCGCTTGATCTGCCGTTACGACTATTGCGTTGGTGGCCACATCAAGCACAACCATGTGCTTATTGGAATCTTCATTGACAATTGGATTATTGATGAAAATGATTGAGTGAGATTCCGTCGAAAGATTTGGAAGTGTACCATAGTCGATGTTGAGGAATCTCTTTGTGCGATTTGAGAGAGAGAGAGCATGGGTCCCATATTTTTTATTTAATAAAACTTAAAGTTAAATAGAAATAAATATTAGAAGGGCAAAATTGTCTTTTCAAATTACGAAAAACACCAAAACCCCAACAAAAATCGTCGATAAGGACTAAATCCGCACGATGAAAGGCTTATGGACCGTTCTAAAACAAATCACAAACCACATGACAAATTTTGCAATTTTGTCTTTTCCTGCTTTCATTCTACATTTCTACCCATTTCGCTCACAAGTCAAAACCCTGGACAGGCCGCTTCCCGTCACACTCTCACAGTTAATGCCCTAATTGAAACAATGCATCTTCGTAAGAAGAAGAACAGACCGAAACCACAAGTTCCTGGATGCGAAAACCCCACTCTTGAACAAATTGATGAACAATCTGGTGGTTTGAGCTTGTCAGGACGGATTAGTTTGTCTTCGATATCGGAAGACGCAGGAATAATTGGGAACGTGACAGATACAACTTCTTGTTCGAGCTTTAAATGGGACGACGATGATTCCGCAGATAGTTTTTGTGATTTCACAGATACTGCGTCGAACTCAAGTGGGAGCTCTGTTGTTTCTAATTTGGATGTGTATAGCCGCGGCAAGTCTAGTAGAAGGAGCCGAAAGAACAAGGTGATTGCTTCAAGTGGGACGGTATCCAATATCATTGGAAAAGATTATTCGTCTTTTTCCAACAAGAGGACATCTGTTCATAAAGGGAATGGGCCCTCTGATGTTGAAAAGGTAATTGAACCTAGATATTAATTTTAATAGTCATAGAAAGTAGAAACCCCCACATCCACATATTAAATTAAATTGTCGATTCCAATTAATTTTCATATTGTGTATACACATGGGGCCAGGAAAAAGAGCTTTTCAAGAGTAGTCAGCATCAGAACTCAAACACAAGTTATGAAGACCTTGTGGCTGATCTTGAGGCATTTGACCCTGTACGTAACTTGCACTTTGTCAGATCATTAAAATTACATATGACTTGTCATTTTAAAGGTTCTTAATATTGAACATGTGCCTGGAATTAGTGAATGATAACCATGATATTTTTCATAAATTGATGAGGGTGAGTTTATTCTTCATTTAATATTATTTTGGGTTGTGGCAGTTCACGGATAGGATGTCTGACTTAGCTTCACCATCTCATAATAATCTCCCGGGTAAAACTAATATGTCATATAAGGGCAGGTAAGATGTTGTAATTTGTTTTTTCTTACTAAAAAGTGGAACGTTGAAAAGTAGTCCAACAGGATACTTTAACTGTTTGTGATTTTCTTTTAGGAGTTATTCTGATGTTGTTAGTTGTGATTTATCTGGCCACAAAATTTCTTCTACATTGCCTCACGACATGTTGGAAGCTCTTTTTACACCAAAACGGGAGCCAGTCAAAGTGAGCTGCAGGAATGTAATAAAATCGATCCAACCATTTGGGCAGAAGCTTGACAATAATCCTTCACAAGACATAGCGAAAAAGCTGCATCTTTCTGGTAAGTAAAATTTTATTAGGTGAATACAACAAGAAATTAACTGCAGAATGTGGATCAATATCACTTTGGGAAAATTAGCGATCCACATTATGTGGTTATGAGTTAGGTTTAGGCTTAGTACTTTAAAAAAATAGCGGCTAACCTAACCAAACCAAACCAAACCGTTTACGTGTGTGTAATTTTTGATATAATTTATTTCTTCTGTTTGTGTTTAGGTAAAAGGGATGATTATCGGCACTACAGGAGACCTGCAACTCAACATTGGGATTTAAAGAATTCCTATTATGACAAGGCAAAGTTTTCTTATCTTTTGTATCGCCTTTATTTTGTTTGTTTTTGTTCTTTCATAGGTTTAGGTTGAAACCCACCATCCAGCGTGTTCACATTTGGTATCTACATTTTTTTTGGGGACCAAATATGGACACATCTAGTAGTTGGATGATGGATTTTAACCTAAACCTTTAAATTAATATGTAGTTATTTCTATTATTATAACATTAAAAATTTATTTTTTTATTTTGTTTATATAATCTAAATACAACTACATTTCACATGTTCTAACACATATTATAATGTGAGATGGATTCAACAAATATTATGACCCTTATATATCATTATGGACAATTGTTCACATTAGCTTTGATTGTGGGTGGCTTTTCAACTGACAAAGTTGTACTTGAACTACAATATGTTAGGTCAATTTTACTCTACATTTGTAACCTAAATCCTTCTTTCAATAAAGATGTGTTTTCATGGACATTCTATTTCGCAGGCTGCAACCGTGTCTGCAAGTGGAAAACTGGAATGCGCAACATATCTCTCTGAAGAGGTAAGTACACAAGAGAAATGCTTCCTCTTGCAAGTCGCAAGAAATTCATGCAACTATTTTTCAATGAAATTGTATAAAATTTTATTGAGCCAACAAGAAACTTATTTGTTTTATAAGGTATTACAAGTGTCCATATGATTGTCTCACAATAATTGAATTTGGATTTCTCCATGCTGATGTATGGATTAATCCCCAATACGAGTGTCTTGGTAATGAATACACGAGAAGCCATAGGAAAGGTCTTTGGTTTATGCTTTGGCGTCACATTTCTTGGGGACATGATCAAGTGATCAATTGTAGTGTGAGTGTGTGGTAGTTTTGATTCCAATGTGGATGGGACTCCTTGTAGGCAATTTGTTAAAGGAAATTCTTATGTACCAAATAGAGTTTATAATTATTTATGCAGGGAAAGATGCACGCTGAAAAGGCTCGGCAAGCAGATAAAAGGGCGAGCGAGGATCTATTCTCTATAAGGTTTGTCACTGTGTAATAGAGATGACAACAAATATTGATGCTTTTACAAACTAATATTTATATCGATATGATGCAGGATCAAAAAATTTGTAAATCTGCTAACAGTGGATTTACATGGACAACAGTCAGAGGAAGGAATCAAGATTTTAAAACTTCACCTTCTATTTGGTGCATATGTTTGTTGTACGTATCTATTTCATTTTCATCATATATACATATTTACCGTTTCTGATTGTCTTTTAATCGATGTGATCTACAGCTGTTGGGAAGTTTCGTATCATTATTGGAGGAGCTGAGATGTCGATGCTGAAACAGTCGGTATAAGTCATCCTTTTTTCTTGTGAAAATGAGCAACGCCTTCTATATGGTTCCAAGGATCAATCATCTTAGACGTGGGTATTTGTATTTTTTTTTTTTTTTTGTAGCTTAGGATATCGAATGTTTGGTGCAGGTTGTTGATCTCTTACAAAAGGAAAACGTTGAGTGGGTGGAAGAAAACACATGTACTCTCCTAATCAAACTCGATGGGCAGAAGAGACAATTTGGCTTCATGGACGACGTAAGTGATTCCGAATGATCTTTGAAAGGCCATTGTTTATAAAAAAAAATAAATTACATATATATATTTTATAAAGGGTATTTATGCAAACAACCAAAATGATGTTACAATTGATATTAGCATGCGGTTTACACATGGACATGGTGCATGGAAATTTTATCCATGTTAAGTATAACCATTTAATATCCAACATACGGATGGTATGAAGGGACGCCTTGCAAACGAATGATTTTATAACCTCCTATGAAATTTGGGCTGCTTCCACGTAGCTATGTCTCTATGAGATCTCAAATGAATGATATCATGCATGAAATATTTTTAAAAGAATGATTGCATTAATCGTTATTTTTGCATTCTATTTTGATTTAATTTTTATGCTAAATCATGAAACCATAACTAACAAAAGCTTAAAGCTTATATATTCCATGTATGTATCAGGAAATGTGCGGGGACCACATGAAGTAGTTACAATTTTAGTCGATAAACAACAAAAGTTTTGTTGTATTATAAACTCTTGAGAATGTAATTGACACATTTTTTCTTATGTAATATTTCTGCAATAAAGTACGCTGACATAAAAGGTATTAGTTTGTTCAAACAATCAATGGCCAAAATTAAATCCTATCATTTAAGTTGCACTCTCCTTGCCAATCTATTTTGCAGGCTGCAGCAGCATATGCATGTGGAAAACGTGAATATGCAACATATCTCTCTAAACTGGTAAGTGTTCAAAGAAAGCAAATATTACCGGGTTATTTAAGTCTGTTTAAATGAAGCTGTGTAAATGTCATTGAGTCAACTAGAAACTCTGTGTTGTTCTATAAGGTATTCCAATCTTTGTGATGGAGTATGCTCCAACATGAGTGTGCTGGTAGTAAACTAAAGAAATCAGAATTGGCTTATGATTCCAATCTTCCAGCTACCTACTGGATTAAACAGTTACTTTGCAATCTGCTGTGAAATGCGTATGTAATGAATTTGAGTTTATGATTCTTATGCAGGAAAAGATGTGCACTGCAAATCAAGCAGATAGAATGTCAAGCCTGAATATATTCGATTCAAGGTTTGTCACTATATATGTGTGTGTGTGTGTGTGTTGATATTGATAATGATATTGGATGCAGGAACAAAAACATTAAGAATTTGATAGAAATGGATTTACATGGACAACATGTACAAGAGGGAGTGGAGCTTTTGAAAGTTCACCTGCTATTTGGTGCATTCGTTCGCTGTAAATATATATATATTTTCATACATATACATACTTTCTGTTTCTGATTATCTTTTGATTGGTGTGATCTACAGCCGTACGTTGTTTCCGGGTTATCACTGGATATGGTAGTAAAGGGACTGGAATATCGAAGCTGAAAGAATCGGTATGAAATTAAAAGAGCATCTGCCTTATTTAGGTTTCACTCATCAATCGCCTTATGTGTATGTTCTTAAGATGCCGATGCTTCTTGTAGGTTGTTGATCTCTTACAAACTGAAAACATTCAGTTCAAGGAAGAAGACCCAGGTACTCTCTTCATCCAACTCGATGAGCAAAAGAGAGAGTTCTGCTTCCTGGAGTGTGGTAGCGACCTTGATTAATCTTTTTTGTTACATACACATTTTGGCATCTGATTTATGAGTATGAAACAAATATACGGCTCATTGTATGTGGATTTTTATCTCTACAAGAATATAGATAAAACATAAATCGATAAAATTATAAAACTACATTGTGTTTTATTCATATATAAATAAAATGAGTAAATTACAGTTTTGGTCCCTGTGGTTTGGTCAGATTCTTACATTTGGCCCAACCTTTGCAATGTTAATATAAATCATCCCCGTGGTTTGGAAAAACTACACTACACTCTTTGTTGGTCTGTAGTTAGGATAAAAAGACAATTTTACTTATTTCAACTTTTTTTTTTTTTTTTTTTTTTTTTTTTTTTTTTTAATAATTCTTTTGCCCATTTACAATATTTAATAATAGAAAAAAGGTGGATGAACAGTAATTGTGCATGACTCTCATTGTTTTTTTTTTTTTAATGATAGAAATTTTCTCAACAATTTTTTTTACACGGTGTAAAAATGAAGCTTTTTTGAGGTGAATCTTAGATTTACTCTGAGAAAAAAAAATTGTACGTGTAGTAATTTCGCAAATTGACCTGACAATATATTTATTAGGGATCACTCAGGACCATTCAAACAATTTCGCAGCCAATTAAACACATTTGTTAATTTCGTATACAGACTCTACAAAATTAATGAATATTTTTGAAAAATCTTTAGTTTTTGTCTAAATTTTAAAAAAGCTTATGAATATCAACTAATTTGATCTTTTCTTTTTCTTTTTTACTATATTATAATCATATTTATTAAATTAAAGTTCTACAAAATTAATGAATATTTTTGAAAAATCTTTAGTTTTTGTCTAAATTTTAAAAAAGCTTATGAATATCAACTAATTTGATCTTTTCTTTTTCTTTTTTACTATATTATAATCATATTTATTAAATTAAAGTGTAAAACGACATAGATATAAAAAAACCTAACAATATAAGGGGCTGTTTGATTTAGTGCTGACCCGGTCCGGTAAGAGGATTTTGACTTACTCGGTCCGGTCAGGGCGTTTGGTAACAACATATAAACCACTTACTCGGTCAGCTCATCTCTTACCCATCACTTACCCGGTCCTGAAAAAAAATTTAGCTGACTGGGTCTTCTCCTTGATTGCCCCTCGTTTAGTTTACACTGATGCTTTCTCTTCTCCCTCAATCATCACACCTCCAAGCTCCAACAATGCTTCTTCTCTATTGACCCAACAACGACATGTGCGCCGACTCCTACCACCTCCGATCTACGCCTTGGGTCGCCTCCATCTGGCGCCGCTTCGCCTGAGATCCGGCCTCCTTCCAGCGGTAGGAAAAATCCTTTCTTTTCTCCCCTTCTTGCTTACACCATTGAATGATTTCATCCAGGAATATTTCAATTGAGTTCTATTTCAAGTTTTTCCTGTTAGTGATCAATTGTATTGTTAAATTATGAAGGTGATAATTATTTAGTTTAGTTTATAATTCACATATTCGTTACAGTTTTCTTTATTTCATCTCCTGATAACTATGATTTTGGAATTGTAGATAGTCGATGTTGTGTTAATTCAGTGTGAATGTATGCCCATAAACCGTTTGATGAAAGGCCTAAGAGAAGCAAATTGGTCAAAATTGACAGAAGAAAGACATTGTTTGGTATTTTTCATTCAACCTTTATAAGGTTTGACTATTTCGTAGCCTAGTCTTCAAGAGAATGTATTTGACAGCTTATGAAAGCCATTAGGGAAAAGAACATAATATTTTGTTTGGCCTAAGAGAAGCAACCTTTATTGGTAATGTATTTGTATTTGTGTGTTTGAGGTAATGTATCAAAGAGATTTACCTGTTATTGAATTCAATTCTCATTCACATAATCATATCAAGTTATTTTGTATTGACAACTTATGTATTTGTATTAGGGAAAGAACATAATACTTTGTTTGGATCAATTTTGACATTATCCTTAACTTTCAATGTCAATTTTGACATTATCCTTAACTTTCAATGCCAATTTTGACATTTTCTGGGTCAAACAAAAGGGTTAAATCGTAAGGATTGTTGCTTTGCTGCTGTTGTGCACTTTGTTTTCAACTAAAAGTTTGATAATTTGGTGTATAATAAGCTTAATAATTTGGTTTTAAGATTGGCAAACCTCTCATGAACTAGAAAAAGTCAAGCACTATACATTCAGGGATTGAATATTTGAATTTATTCATGTATATTACTTTTTTAACAAAATAAAAATCATGTTTGTGGAGCAGGTGAAGTAAAAGAAAACAGGAGGCAATAGAATGTTATAAAAATATTGTTTGAGGGTAATATAGTCATTTGGTACAGTCAGTCAGATACAAAATCAAAAAACAAGTTCCAGTCAGAAGTTAACCCAGTCAGGCCTATATATTCTAACCCAGTCAACTTCTAACTCAGTCAGCCCTTACCCAGTCAGTAACTATCAAACGACCCCTAAATATGTTTCGATCTTTTAATAAGTAATGTTATTTCCAAAGACACCTTTTATTAAAATAGTAACTAGAGTTTATTACATTATTAATTTTTAAATATATTTTAGTAATTTGGTCTTTATCTGGTTCTAACTATAAGCCCGAAAGCTTAGTGAGTTCCCCCAAAATATCCATACCCACAACAATACTCATATAATCATAAACAACATACTATGAGTCCAATCAACCATCTGGTTGGAATACCCCAGGCCCTCAACCTTCCGGTTGGAATGCCAACATACTATGGGTCCAATCATCCTCGGGATGGAATACCCCAGGCCCACAACCAACAGGTTGGAATGTCCACATACTATGAGTCCAGTCATCCTCGGGATGGAATACTCCAGGCCCACAACCAACAGGTTGGAATGCCCAGGTCTATTGGCTTTCGCACAAAGCAGATAAGCCTCAACCAATAAACAAACATGTGCACATATATCAGATAATCATGTAACAGTCTATAGACATCAATTAATCTAACGGATCATACCACATACCATATAATATTATCTTACTCTATAGGATACCGATCTAACAGACCCTACCACTTATCATATAATCAGATAACAATCCAAAGGGTCGGCCTTGGTGCCTTAGACCCTTGAGTATAGTGAGGGTAACTCACCTGACACTGCCGAAGTCCCGTAGATAAAACTCCAGCTGCTGGTTGATAGATTCCCGAACTGTCCACATCAAACAATACCCAATTAATAATTGGGTTCCAAGCCCAAGGTCCAACTCACACTACAAAAACCCAATAGTTAAGTAACGGGCCAAAGCCCAACACATGGCCCAATTTTCCAAATTGGTCCCTACCCTTCACATGGGCCTTAGCCCTTAGGCCCAACCATCTTTCTTGGTCCAAACACTTGGCATACTAATGACCCAATCTCTCATAATCATAAAGGCCCAGTTATGGCCCATCTATGGCCTAATTTTCCAAATTGGGCCCCAGTCCTCACATGGGCCTTATCCTAAAGCCCATCTAATTATTTTGGTCCATTAACTTGTTCTTGGATAGCCCATCTATAGTCCAACCACCAAAACCCAAAAGAAAGGCCCAACTCAAGGTCCAATAGGAAGGCCCAACTGAATTTAGGGTTCTCACATGAAATGACAATTAGGGTTAAGTGTTCCTACTCAACCCATTAAGGACTTAATTCATTAAGGATTTAATCCATTAAGTCCATTATTGCCTTAGATTAATTTTCCAACGATTATTAACTAATATTTTAACTTTACTAAATACCCAACTGAATTGAGGGTTCTCACATGAAATGACAATTAGGGTTAAGTGTTCCTACTCAACCCATTAAGGACTTAATTCATTAAGGATTTAATCCATTAAGTCCATTATTGCCTTAGATTAATTTTCCAACGATTATTGATTAATATTTTAACTTTACTAAATAATTCTCGTGTGTGTGTCCCGATCAATTCCCAAAAATTAGGGTTTTAAGCCATTAGGGTTTTCCAAACCCTAATTAGGGTTTCCTACCCAATACTAGCCCATTAGTCAATTGGTTGGGCTTTTAGATCACTTTGGGCCTCATTGGGCTAATTAGGGTTTTATTAGGTCAATTAGGGTTTCCCTGGGCCCATTAGGGCTTCATTGGGCCCACTAGGGTTTCATGCATCCCAAACGAATCAAACACAACAAGGCAAAGCACACCGCCATCCGACATGGCGGCAGGAGGCGGCAGCCACCACCCTACGGTGGTGGTTTAGACTTTTCTTTCATTATTCCCATACGAATTACAATGTAATTTACAATAATATCTAAACAACACACACACACACTCATAAAATAATACACACACACAGCCACCTTGTGGTGGCCGACGGTGGTAGATGGTGGCAGCCACCACCTCACGGTGGTGGTGGTGGCTTTTATCAAGAAATCCGGCCAAGATAACCTCACACACGGAACACACTAACATTAGAACATGTACACACACCCTCCTGACGGAAACACACACACACTGAACACACTAACATTAGGGTTTTATTAGGTCAATTAGGGTTTCCCTGGGCCCATTAGGGCTTCATTGGGCCCACTAGGGTTTCATGCATCCCAAACGAATCAAACACAACAAGGCAAAGCACACCGCCATCCGACATGGCGGCAGAAGGCGGCAGCCACCACCCTACGGTGGTGGTTTAGACTTTTCTTTCATTATTCCCATACGAATTACAATGTAATTTACAATAATATCTAAACAACACACACACACACACACTCATAAAATAATACACACATACAGCCACCTTGTGGTGGCCGACGGTGGTAGATGGTGGCAGCCACCACCTCACGGTGGTGGTGGTGGCTTTTATCAAGAAATCCGGCCAAGATAACCTCACACACGGAACACACTAACATTAGAACATGTACACACACCCTCCTGACGGAAACACACACACACTGAGCACGCTTGCTCCGAAATAAATGTCACCACCCACCTCACGGTGGTGTACGGGGCAGCAACAGCGGCACATCGACGGCTGACGGTAGCGGTCGGAATCTGTGACATCCAAAAAGCGTGGAGAAGAGAAAGAGAGAGAGAGAGAGAGAGAGAGAGAGAGAGTATTTGCAACATCTACACACG